GCATCAAGACAGTGCATTATCGGCAGGGAACCATGACAAAATCATGGTCTTCACACACACAGTTTGTTACATCTGTGTTGAATACTTGGAACAGTGGATTCAATGTAAAAATCTATGCTTTCGGATATTCCTAAGGTCTGGTGTGAACATACTCATAAAAATCAGAGAATTACTCATGCTCATGCAAAATGTAAAGCTATAATGCTAGAAATAAACAGAACATTTCCTAGCCAAATCTTTCATCTACAGCAGGCATGTCAAACTCAACTTGTACAGAGGGCCACCTCAGCCCTATAAATAACAGTCGAGGGCCGCACTTCAAAATAGAAATATACATTAGATTCTGATACAAGGAAATTTAATTCTATTCATTGTTTAAGAATCATTTCAATATAATTACCAAAAGTCACATATCTTAGTTTTAAAAAGCAAGAGAATGCCATTTTTGACAGTATCAAACAACTTTTCAATATGTAAAAAGAGAGATTACACATGAAATTATGTTAGATATAGCAAAACATTGAATTTCCTGCAGCCTGCTAATTTATGTCTGCGTGAGACTTCTTGTCTTCTGGTCTGTTGGAAAATTGTCTTTACAAAAAATATTTCTACTAAAATTTTAATATTGATTTTAATATCAATTAGCTCTAAAAGTTGAGAGGCCGCACTTTGTGGCTATGGGGACCGCATGTTTGACACGGCTGATCTACAGTGTAACCCATTGCTCATGGTACGCCTAAACCTTTGCCAATAGTTACGTCTGATGCTGAAGCTGCACAAGATGCTACTGAATGGTACAAACCTGAAATGCAACGCAATATACTTTCTCATTTATAATTCACCTTGCCTATCTTACCTTGGAGACAAAACTGACTGTTCATCAGTAGAACATTGCTGGTTGCTAAATACTGAATAATGGAATCTAATTGTAAAATGTGGTTCAAGAAAACTGACATTTCACGTCTGGGCCTACAGCATTCTTAACCACTATTTTATTTAAGATTCTACCTATGCAGTTTTATTTTGGGACATGGTCTCTACAGATTATTAAAATTTAATCAAAAGTGTTAAAGCCATGTTCAATAAAACTGCCATTATGTATATTGGTTCCTGATGCTGACTTCTCATGTTATCTCAAAATTAGATGGAAGTCATTAATTAACATTTATTTATTTTGTTTCGTTTTTTTACTTGATCAAAATTTTAATTTGTGTTTATGTCAATCACAAATGAGGTGAGATATCGTAACAGCGTACTGCAGTGTTATACACTCATTATACACTGTTCTTCAGGATTTTTCTCGATTATGCTGGTGACAGCGAGTAGGCTGTTTACCAGTACTGGGGAATCATGAGATACCTGCAGAAGGCTTCCAAATGTAACATGAACCAAATGAGAGGGGTTCCAGCATATTTTCATAGCATCAGAGTGACCAGGTAACATCTCTGCTGAAGCCATTGGAAGACACAGCTCAGAATGGTTAGGGTGTGTTTGGTACCCACTCCTGTAAGATACACAGCTGGCCAATCATGGTACAGTTTAGTTTAATAAATATTGCATAATATTAATGTGGTCTCCAATAAATAACTGTTCAAGATTAAATCTGGACTCCTTCATTGCTCTCAAAGGATCAACTTTCACCCACACAAGTTGCACCTGAGTGTCTCATGTTCCGGACTCCTGAGTTTACTGCTGTTTATCACCTTTATCCAGATTCCTGAAGCAAAGTCAGGTGGAGCCCATTAACCCAATCATTAAAGAACAAGTGAAAGGTGAAGGTGCGGTGTCACACCGATATAGGATATACAGATTCTTGAATAATGGATATGAGTAACAGCCATCCAGTTGTTCAGGTGCACATCCATATATACAGATAGAGAGCATATCAAAAACCGCTTTTTAATCAGGGGGCTGAAAACATTAATCTGTCACAATCTTGAGATCAGTTCTTTTCACAATCACAATACTTTCTCATATATACTATGTATATGAGAAAATAAAAACAAGTTGTGATCATTTTATTGGTACAGATATCATGTGCAGAAATTGTTACCACTCTCTTCCCAGGAAGACCCATTTGTCTTTTACAACAACACTGCTGAACTGTAACTAGTGTACCAGCTGCAGCTTATTAACTGAGCGAGTGAGTGAGAGTGAAAAGCTTGAAAAGTTTTCTTCCTCACAACAGTAACATACGAAGTTCTGTTGCAGTGCTCAGTCACTGAACTTGAAAGATGAAAATTCTGAATGTCATAATAATGTTACATATACAAACTATGAGTAGAGTAGAGATTTGAAAAGTTACAAGTATGCTGCTTGATCAATAATCTTGTTCCACAAAAGCATCATACAGTTTGTGTGAATGGGACAGCAGACCACAATGTATCCACTGGATAAAGAAACAATGGCCATTTAGATTGATACCGGATTCAAAAAACAGCAAAAAGATCAGAAAGGTGACTTCTGATGAACAGTGCGACACAAAATATGCTGGTGCAATGGTAATGCTCTAGACTTGTATTCAGAACGTGCCTGGTTCAAATCTCGGCTGAAACAGTGATTATTCCGACTTTGTTATAGTTTTCCTCAGGTCGCCCATGAAAATTCTGGGATAGTTATCTCAGTTACGAAATCCTTCCTTTGAAGTCCTTCCCAATTCATTATTTACTGATCCTACCATTTAACACTACATAGTCAGAAATACTGACAGCATCATAAAATATGTCACAAAAAATTAACAGAGGGAATACTGAAGAGAGGTTGAAAGAGGACAATGTGTTGGCTTAAACAATGCTATTCAAAATTCTTATTCTTCTTATTAGTCTTATGTTATTCATAAGGAACAACAAAGCCCAATATAACAAGAAAATTATTCTTGAAAACATGCTCAGTAGATTTCAAAAGCTGGGCTGTAATATGAGCTTGAAGGCTCATATTTGTACTATTTTCCCCAAAATCTCAATAGCTTTATTGAAGGGCAAAGATTTCACCTGGACATAAAGGCAATGGAGAAAAGACACCAGGGAAGATGGCATGTCAACATGACAGAAGACCAGTGCAGGTCACTGAATAGCCAGACTTTCCTGCAGCACATAAAAAAAGGTAACCAGAAAAGTGTCATGCTGATTGCAGGTAATTTACTGGAACACAGTAGAAAAGTGGATTTCAAATAAGGCAGTCAAGAGATGTAGGTCTTTAAATGTCTGATTCTTTAAAGGTTAAACTTGCAGCACACAGTTCACACCAAACCTTAAGAGTAAAGAGGAGAAACCCTTGTCATGACTCCTTGCTGTTGAGTGTATACAGGTTTAAAGACTACTGAATCAACTGTTCATTATTCATTATTATTTCTCACTACTGGAGGAGACAATGTTTTTCATTAAATCATGCAAATTCACCACTGTAAGATGAGGTTAACAAAACCCAATGCACTATTTTTATTTTTCAACATGATCTCCATATTGTAATTCTTCACTGACAAGAAGCCACACCACCGTAATTCCATACAGTTATATCTTATCCAATATTCAGAAGATAACTAAGCATATGACTACTGTACCACAATACAAAGTGGGGCAATGTGGACAGCCCAGCTACATTACGAACTACAGGTTAACTGCAGAGTCAATATGCAATAATGTGTTGAAAGAGGCCTCTCTAATCTTACTGTTTATCTGAGGTAAGAGATTTCATCTTGTATGAAGAACTGAAAGGGACATTGTTACATTTAGTGTACGGAGCAATAATATTCCAAAATACATAAGTCATACCGAAAGTCAAGAGCAACTTCTTTTTGCATGCAACCTAGGAACAGCAGACGAAAGAGAGTAAGGTGGTAGGTGGAACCAGCTGTTGTGTTAACCTTGAGTGTCTTGTGACGATCAATAGCTTGCATCACGTGACCGGTATCACTCCCAACAAAATGGCCGACAATGATACGTCGTTTCGCCAGCGTGCTGTCATCGAATTTCTTGTGAAAGATGAAATCCCTGCTGCAGAAATTCACGAGAGACTTCAGCGTGCTTATGGAAGTGTGTGCATGGGTGCAAGCAGTGTTTGAAAATGGGTGAAACATTTTAAAGATGAGAACACCAGCATCAAAGATGAGCCTCAGAGTGGTCATCTTCGAACAGCCTCAACTGAACGCAACAAGGAAAGAGTGGATGAGATCATTCAAGATGACAGGTGTGTGACTGTGGACACAACAGCCCAAAAACTTGGAATAGGGCAGAGTGCAGTACAGGAGATGATTGAAAACTTGGGCTATAGGAAAGTTTGGGCTTGTTGGGTCCCGCGGTTATTGACTGAAGACCACAGAGGTCAGCAAAAAGCCATCACCTCAGAACAGCTGCAGAGATATCGACATGAAGGCAATTTTTTGCTCTGTATTGTGACAGGTGACGAAAGCTGGTTTCACCATTTCGAGCCTGAAACGAAATGGCAGAGTATGGAATGGCACCATTTGCATTCTCCATCAAAAAAGAAGGCAAAGACAGTGCCAACAGCTGCAAAGGTGATGGGCACAGTCTTCTGGGATGCAGAGGGGTTTATTCTGGCCAAATTCCTGGAACCTGGGCAAACCATCAATACTGCTCGTTATGTCCAGACACTGCACAAGCTCCACCGTGCATTGTGCGATAAACGTCCAGGACGAAACATCATCATCCTGCATGACAATGCTCGCCTCACATTGGAAGCAACTGCAAAGATGGGGTGGGAAATTCTTTCACACCCCTCCTATAGCCCTGATCTGGCACCCTCCGACTACCATCTTTTCAGATTTGTGAAGGATCAGCTATGTGGACGTTTTGAGACAAGGGAGGCAATTCAGAAAGCAGTGTATCAGTGTCTTCGGATGGCTGGAACAGAATTTTACAGAAGGGGAATTTTCAAACTCCCAGAACGCGGGGAGAAATGTGTACAAAGAAGTGGCGATTATGTAGAAAAATAAAGAAAGGTCTGTAGATTGAGGTGGTGTATTTGGTTTGTTAATAATAAAGCATGTTACTTTACAAAAAATTGTTGCCCATGACTTTCAGTATGACCCTCATAATATACTTGTTGTTGAAAAACTGTAAATATGTCCAAATATGTAGACTGCTTTCATTACCATGCTGTGGAGATGTTACTATGAATATATTAAAACCTAGTGTAAGAAATCAAACTATACATCTGTCTTCACACATGTTATTTTGAATTAAAGCAAAGGCCCACTGTTGTCTCTAAATGTTGGATATGGTACAGTGGAATGATACATGTGGCAGAAAAGAGAACAGTGCAGAGGGATAACAAGTAATCTAGTCTGATGTATTTCTAGCAAAGTTTCTCTTGCAGACAGAAGCACAGCTCAATAGTCAGTGTAAAAACCCTTTCTTCAAAAACTGATGTTTTCTCTTAATTATATTTAGTACCTTAAGAAAAATGCAGTTACTTGGCTGCTTAGATGAAATGTCCTGTAGAATAGTTTAAACTGTGATACTCTATGAAATTGCCTTACTGAAGGAATTCCTTGACAGTAATATGAAACTTCAAAGAAGTGAATTTCCCTAATTTTTGTTCTTGATACAAGCCCCTGACAGGTTTTTACTTGAAAGAATAATTATAATTTGCATAATTTATGTGGCTTGCTTTTGACTGAATGTTGAGGCCTCCAGATGCACCATCGCTGCCATGTGGAAGGCAGGTATCTCCTGAAAAACTGCGCTCATCATTTTTTCCGTTGGTGATATGTGATGCACAGGCCCAAAAATGCTGTGGAAACCTCCCACCAATAGGGATTAATAACTACAATTCAACACAACTGCAGCAGCCTCACAGGAATACAAACATTTTACAAACACGAAGATATGTTCACTGCCTGCCCAGAAAGAGGCCTTAGAGAGCAATGTCCACCTCCTGCAGACTCACAGTGCGATCCTGAAAAACTGAATTACAGCAAACTAGGAATGATTACTGACATGCAATTTGTTTGGCCTCATTCTTCCCAGAAGACACATGTGGGCACACTTAGCAGCTGTTGGTAGACTTGGGAAGAGGTCTCACAAGATACAGTTTCTCTCCCTGCTTGTTCGTGTAGATTGGAGCACGCTGGTAGTGGTCTACCAACTGATCCAGTGTGTGGAACTTGCGCTGTCCAATGCAGTATAAAGCACCTTCCACATGGACCCGAAAATGCTTGTTGCGCCCAGGGGCCTTCAGTGACACTGAGTAATCACCCATCTGAAAAACAGAAGAGCACTTTACACTGTGGCCATATATCAAATGCTAATAGCATTACCCAGCTGCTAACAATACTAACATTTGTTTCACTGTCTCTGATGAGGAAGTCCCCATCATGGCCATGCTGGTTCAGGAGATTATCACACTGTGCTCGTGTGATGGTGCCATAATACCATGCCTTGCCCACCAGATGTGGGCGGTCCAGCAAACGTCCAACACCAGATCCACTTCCATCTTGTCGCCTGTCTAATGAGTCTTGTCTTTCACTCCCACCATCACGGTTCCGGTATGGCTGAGTCAAGTATTCACTTAACTCCTGAATAAAGAGATGACTGTTATTATTCACTGCTAACACTTCAATGACTCACTTAGTAGGTGTATGTAGTTTCATTCACAATTCAAATTTTTTAAATTCATATGACAAAATGATTTTTGTTCAGTGCTTAACGTCTTATAAGAACACATCACTTAAAAACTTTTCATCTCACTCCTCTTCCTACACAAAAAGAAGAGTGGGAAAGAGGACACAATTCATAAATTATAAAATTTGTATTTCAAATCTACTGTCAACTTCCATATACTGAATGTATACTGGACAAGACTGTATTATAATCTTGTTAGTGTGTTCAATTGTTAATCCTTTCCCATCACACGTCAATATATAATCCACACTACGAGTGTGCTTCCACGGACAAATGTCGATATATGATCGCGAAGTTTCTTTCACGTTTCTCCGATGATATGTCGGTCATACGTGACTACCTGCCACTGTATACTATACCAATGTAATCATGAATGTTTAGTCTGCATTCTTCTGCCATCTTGAAGTCATAATTTGAACTACTTGAGGAACGATTGCCATTTATATATTACTGAGTATCAGTGTTAGCAACACGGCTTCGCGTTCGGGTAAACATGTGCCTTCTGGCATGAAAACTGAAATATAATGATGTGTGTGTTGAGAATGAAGACTCAATTATTGCGTTGTTATATGAAGAACTTGATTTAATTGTAGAAGAACTTGACATACACTCTGATGATCAGATGGATTTGGAAAATGTTGAAGAAACTGCGAGTCAAGTATCCAGCAATGAAATGTTGGGAATTGAGACCGAGAGTGAAACATGTGTTCTGCGATGAAGATGGGAGATAAGAAACCCATGGCATATACACTTACTAAAAATGCAGGGCCACAATTTAACCTTCTATCACATGCAGGGCACATGGATTATTTTTGTTTATCTTACAATGATGAGCTTTTGAATAACACTGTTATAGAGACAAACAGGTATGTGAGACACAAAATTTCGGAACTTCAGCTTGGCCTGAGGTCCATTTGGAGTAGCTGGTCTGATTTGTCAGTTCCTGAAATGAAGGCATTTTAGGTGGAATTATAAATATGGGCCTAATGCCAGTACCTGATATAAGACTACTGGTCTAGTGACTGGGAAACACAGATATCACTTTTTGGTGATGTAATGTCTAGACTTAGGTTTATTCTGATATTCTGGATGACTCATGTGGGAAATGATACCAAAGAAGAAAGCAATCGGATCATCCAAAAGAACAAGGCAAGTACACGGGGTGACAGTTAGCAGAGAAACAGTTTCAGAAATATTCTGTGCAGGTAAAAACGCTGAAATAGATAAATCAACAGTTTGGTTCAAGGGAAAATAATTTTTGAAAGTTATAATCAAGAAAAACCTATAAAGTGGAGCCTCGGATTATTTGTATAACTGACGGTGACACTGGTTATGTTCATAGTATAATTACAAATTACAGAAAACTTACGGGTGACATGTGTAACTTGCCATACACAGAAAAACCTTTCATTTCTAGAACAGTTCTTTCCTTGATGGATATACTAGAACTCAGTGTGTCTGGTGTTGAAGGCTACCCCCTTTGCACTGACAAATATTATAGTTGTGTTCAGCTGGCCCAAGATTTGGACAAATGAAAATGCCACAAAACAGGCACTATTATTGCTGGTAGAGTTGGCAGTCCAAAACCCCTGTGGAAGGGGGCCATGAAGCAAATGAAGAGTGGGGACACTTTTGCCCACAGAGGAGGGAATGTCCTGCTAATGGCCTGGAAAGACGAGGGTGGTTCTCTTGATGTCTGCATATCATGACACATCAATGGGAAAAATAGTGACCATTCAGAAAGGGGGGCAGCAGAAAGAAATCCAGAAGCCAATGTGTACTCAACTATACAAAGCATATGGGGGGTGTGTATCGCAGTGATCATTACTGCGCAATGTGTGCTTTCTTTTGTAAATCTCTGAAGTGGGGAAGAAAACTCTTCTTCAAGTGTGCTTTGTAAATTCAAACATTTTGTGCAGCAGCCATAAGGCACACATGGGGGTGAAACAAATGGTACATGTCAAGTATTGACGAGCTCTTGTTGAAAATCTAGTAGGCGATGTGTGCAACCCAAGAAGGGGTCACATCCGGGGTCAGCGGAGAGAGAGGAGAGAGTAAATACAGCGCCTCACATCCTCTACCACTATGAAAAAAAGAAACACAAAGACTGCATTGTGTGCAGCAATTAGAAGGTCATGGGAGCCAGAAAAGAAACATACTTCTACTATAAGACCTGTATCAATCAACTGGCCATGTGCCCTGGGGAATGTTTTGAAAGAACTCTCAAGAACTTCAAAAAGTTTTAGTGTAGGTCCCATATTTTATCAAGTTGTTTGTTGTTTGTGTACACACAAGAGTGAGAGTTATAAAAGGAAAGGACTGTGTGTACATGTTATACTAGAGAACAGTAGACTTGATGTCATACACCACTACAAGGCACAGAATTTGTCTTCTTGCATTGGGCTGGTAAGGAGACATTTTGCTTTTTCATTCTATGCCCTTGTTGCACCAACTTTTTGAGCAAAACAGCTCGCTTAGTGGCTATGTGGGCATTTTAAATCCCTTGATGACCTGCCTGCAGAAATTTCTCCAAATGCACCAACCAGAAAGGATTAAGTGTGACTGCCAGTTTTTATGAAGCAACACAAGACAGTTCAACAGTTCCATATAATTTTAGTAAAAGCACTGTACCTTTCTTCCCACTAATGACACATTACATTTATGTAGGGTAAATAAATCTCCACCAAAATCTCTTTCCTTTTAATTACACATCACCTCAAAGAACACTTCAAATAACTTGTTCTTTTTGGTGGGTGGGGGGGGGGGATTCATAAAATATGGAAATTATGCATCTGAAGTAAAATTCCATCCCCTAAACTTTGTTTAAAAGGAGCCACATAGTACATAAATTCTAAATACTATTCTTATAATTTTACATCACTTAACAACTTCTTGAACTTGTGCCATCATGAAGAAACTGTTCATCAAGATGCTGAGAGGAATTTCTTTCCTAGCATGACAACAGTCCTTGGGACAGGAGCAGTGGAAGAGTAAAGCACAACATAGCATGTACTGGCTTTCGGGCAACTGACATAAATCACATTTTAACATCAGAAGATTTACATATACAGGCCATAAGAAATATTACAGAAAGTACAGTCACCTACATAATACAGAAAGAAATCAAAGCACATGTTGTAGGACTGAGAGGCAGGCTACAATTTGCTAAACTGTTCTTGTACATAAAGCTTCTTGGAGCCTATGCCCGTCAATACTTCGGAGCTGTTGTTTTCATCAGATAAAAAAGATAAAGGTAGCAAAGGTTTAACTGATGTTGCAGTACAGGCAAGCCAGTTCTGCCCCAGAAAGTATGTTGCTGTTGTATGTGACAGTGATTGGTCCATTGGATGTATCATCATGCATAAGGATCAAGAAGGTGATTTCCTTCTAAAATTTATGAGAGGAAAAGGGCAAAATGATACGACTTTTCATGGCCACAAGGAGGAAATAAATGTGTATTCGCTTTCCTCATGGTTCATGTGCATTTCGGGCAGCATCGCTGTATTGAAGGGGTGGATCAGAGATCAGGTGGATCAGGTTTGAGCATGATGATACATAGTTTACAGGCATTTTCTTTTTGTACACACCAAAAAACGTTTTAATTGCATTCACATCAGTATGTAAGTTTTGAAACATGTTAAATTTATTATCATCTGTAATGAGGAAATGTTTACTGCTGTCATATTTATACCGTTGTTCATCATCACTGCAGTGAAACTTCTTTGTTTAAAATTTCTCTTATAATACAGTTCTTTGTTTGTGGTGGGTAGAAACTGCAGGTTCCTACTTGAAGACTTCTGCAATGGTTGTATCAGCCAAATTACTGCAGCTATTTGTATAAACTTTAGACCAGTACATTCCCTGACAAGAACTAATGATGGATTAACTAACCAACTCCATGGAGCTGAGCTTGCGATGCTGCTAGTTGTACAGTTACTCAAAAATTTCCCAACATTTTATGGAAACCAAAGGTTTATTACTGTGTCCACAACAGCCCTCTGAGGCCCTCTGTGGCATTTCACAGCAAGATTATTTTTAAGGTGAGGAGTCGTTAGCCCCACATCCAACCCCCAAGCAATGCCATGGCAACAAGGAGCCCACTTAACATGAACTACTGCTGGACACCCAATTTCATATTACAGAAATGACACGTGTAACAAAAAGGGCTATCACATGTTATAATGCACCTACGTCCATTAATTAATATCTAGGAATTTGTTAACCGTTCAGCGTGGTTTGACGTGTATGTTTCGTCGAGGTATTTAAATCGTCTGGGGCGGTTTGACGTCTATGTTTCGTCCAGCTGCACACCTATGTTATAACGCCCATAATAATTGATGGTTTTGCTGTAGATTGTTAGATTTTTCGCTGGCCTGTTGTCAGAAGTTCTATATATAATGGGACACGAGTTTA